GGGCTGAGGAGATACTGATGAGTGCTGACAAGACCTGTGGGCTACTCGTTTGATGAGCTTGCCCCTGGGTAGATGATCTGATCTTGTCATTTCTGACTGTAATTAACTGGCACAGAGCTAGAATGAAAATTCTGTTTGGACATTATGTTTGGAGCGTATTTTTAAAATGTCTTGAGGTTCCGGGAGAAGATAAATTGTGTTAAGCCCTTATCGTGACTATAGGCCCAATTGTTCTGAGCCGTGAGGCCGGTCTGCTGAGTGCCAAATAAATGAGTGTGGTGTAAACTGTTTGACATGAAGTGTGGACCCTTTTAAAAAATTTTTTTATTTGAGTCATCTGTCACAGAGCCTCTGGTGAAATCATCATGTTCACAGTCAAACTGTCACATTCCCATATTTCTTCAAATATTTCCTCTATTTGGAGAAAACACAGGCAAAAAATGAAATTACAAAAGCTGGCTGTTTCTCCAAAAATAAATAAAAAAAACAATGCAGATTTGTGTTGAAGAGTTTGCAAAGAAGCCAACAGCAACCCTGAAGGAGCTGCAGAAATTTCTCCCAAGCATCACTTTTACTCCACATGTGACGACCTCATATATATTGCAGGTCTGGTTTGAAGATTAGGACTTCCAGACAGAAACCTTTTTTTTTCAATAAAATAAAGTCTGTGGTTCCATGTGTCTGATGAAACCTCATCTTAACTTTAACTACAGTTCCAAAACGTGAGTTTAACATAAGAACAACACAGCTCATCATAAAAATAATATGACTTTAAACTTTTATTTTCTTCCACTCACATCCTGTAGAATAATACTCTGCTTTAGTTTTGAATATGTAAGTGGACGTCCAGTAGATTATAGAACGAATGAAGCAGAAAATCTGATTTTGCAGAGATCAGATAAATTCAGAACAGGCTGATTTAGGTGCTTATTATTTTGTTGTGATTGGAGTTTCATTGATATAAGCTGCAGGTAATACAAGTGAATCATTTTAGCAGTTTAAGTGAAACACTAAAAAAACCCTTATGTTGTAGTATTGGATATATATATTTTTAAAAGTACATTTCATTAGGATGGTCATTTAATTTAATTCTAGTGGATTTTTTACCGCAATAATAATAATAATAATAATAATAATAATAATAATAATAATAATAATAATAATAAAAGTCAAACTATTGTTTCTCCCTTCTGCTGACATAAAATGTCACTGAGTTTGAGGTCATTGAAAGTGAATTGAGATGGATTGCATTGGTTTTTGGTAGAACTACTTTCATGGATTTTTTTTGTCTCTTTTTTTTGGGTGCTGTGCATGCTCCTTCAGGCGTCCAAGCCTTTTCAGGTGAATGCTTGCGGTTTCAGAGAACCGTGAGAGCATCATCCATAAAACAGAGAACCTCAGTTTAAATTCACTCGACAGCTATCCGCCCGGTTGATGCGTCCTTGAAAAGGAGAGCGAGTTTCCTCTGGCTCTATGACAACAGCGAGTTAATGTTTTGCATTGATCTTCATTGAAGATCAAGAGAAGACAAGGATATATTAGAATACGGAATAAAGAGGAATGATCCGTACAGAACCAAAGTCTTCCGCTTAAGGTTGTCTTGCATTGACACCAACAGATTTGTTTTGGTGAAACTCCAGCGGATTGCTTTAAGTACTGGGAAGCAAACTGATTTTTGGCATCTAATGCAGTCCTGAGCAGGTTGGGTGGAGTGTTAAATGGGTTAGGGACAGGCACTTAGGGACTGATTAGACCTGCCAACATCAATACTGGCTGTCAAGGTGTAGTGACTGAAGGATATTGAAGTGTTTAGTTTCAGATTGGCGCGGGAGTTGGACGCCGTGAACGTGAGAGGTTTTCAGTTAGCAGACCGATCGTTTCAGTCTGGAATAATTTTACACAACAATACAAATAGTAGCTGTTATTCAGCAAGAGTGAAATAATAGTTCTTGATGCCACTTCATAATGTGCTGTGGGATTTTTTTGCCATATTTTAATATGTTTAGTTTTGGTTTAACATCACTAAATACCAACATATTTAAAAATACGATTGATTGGAATTATTGTGTTCTGTTTTAACAGGACAACTAAATTTTTTAATATTAGTGGTGGAATACATTTTCACTCTTTTTAAAAAATTTTTTAAGGCAGTTTTGTGTTTATGGGACTATGCATCCTTTAAAAGTTTTTTCATAAAGCATCTTCTGACTGAAGTAATGACATGACTCTGAAGTGGCTCGCTATCTGATGAAAACCGAGTTCAATATTTTATAGAACCAGTTAACAACTGGCTATAGCGAAAATACTGTTTGAGCTGAAAATGCTTTGTTGCAACAAAAAAAAAAGTTTGGTTTAGCGTAAGCATTAAGCAACCTTCAGCCACACAATGAAAATCAACTTGCATACATTTAAAAAAAAATATTTCTACCAAGAAACCAATGTCATTTTGTTGACTCGCTTGATTTTGGTCAAGGTCTGGCAGTGCACATAGTAATATTTTTCTAAGTTCTGTCTTAATTGAAAATGTTTGTTGATAAATTAATATCTGTTAACAACTGAAAAGGTTGTATATCACAGAAGTTGTACAAATAGTGCTCTACATGTTGTTGAATGGAAACATTTGCAAATAAGTCTGTCTTAAAAGAATTACATTCTTCTTTATAATTCTGATTTTCTTTTTTTTTTAAACATTTTTAGACTTGTTTTGCATATTTCAAAATATGAAAGTGCACCATAATAAACAATCTGTTCTCTTAATTATAACTTTGCACACCGAAAACTATTTCTTGATAGTCATAAAACCCAAAAAGAAAAGTGCATGCATGCCTCTTGATTGCAAATTATAAGTCTTATAAATTAAGCCGCACTTAAATCAAAGACACTAAAAACAAACAACAACAACAAAAAAATCCTTCCTGTTGCTTTTTACAGATTTTTTTTTTTCTGGCTTTTGATTTAAGCATAATGCAGATGCTTCAAATGACTAACCTTGTGTCCTGTGCACTCAATGATTCACAACAAAGTGTTTCCAGCTTCACTTCATCATGGTGCGTTCAAAGACACAAGAAAAGGTTATTTGTAATTGTCAGGCCAGACACCATTCAAACCACTCCACCTGGAAATCTGCCTGGTACATCATTTATTGTTCACATTTGAAAATACTGTGTTTCCATCTCTGCATTTTACAGAGGATTTTTGCAATAGAAATTAAAGCTGACCAATTTCCTCTTCTACCACTTTTGAAAATCCAAAACGAGGTTTATGCCTGTACAAAGGGCATGACTGAAGACTTTATATATTTTTACATCTGTTGGTTGAACTGGTGACATAACGTTTGTTTTCTACAGCAGAGAGGTTCTGGAGAGGCTGATAGAGCGATATATTCTGCGTTCACTCCATTCATTATTCAGGATTGTGCAGTAAAATGACATAAGCTCAAATTAGGAACTTTATTCCCTAACAGGCAATTAAAGGCAATTATAACTTGATGGTCATGAAACATTCATGACCTCTTAATATCGACTGAGGGTCAGAGCTTTAAATCAAAAGTAATTACAATTAAATCAGATGTTTTTATCTTTAGGAAATAAGCTTTTAAAAACCACCATTTCTTTTAAAATGTGCAGGGATCTCTTATCAATCACTAAGCAATAGAAGCCAGAAAGAATACATTCCTGCCCATTTCACAAAACAACATGAAAACAATCAGTTCCATCAATCTCAAATTGAGACAAAGTGTTTGCTAAATGTACATGCAACTGTTGTTTTTCAGTTCAAACCTGTTTTCTTGTGTTATCGTGATCTCAGTTAAGAACATACATTTCTCAGTGATTTTTAGAAGTTTTTTTTGTTTTTTTTAATTTCAGTCAACTACCAACAACATTTACAATCAAACATTTAATAACGCTGCTTTTTTAAATAAATGACGGCCAATCTGTTAGATTTAACCGTCTCTAACTAGCACAAACCCAGCTTTTTGTTTTCACAACTAATCTGACTTTTTCAAAAAGCTGTGCTTTATTTTCTCACTAAAACCAGGAAGACGGAGCACATCACTCTGATCCTAAAGTCCTTATCCTGGCTCCCTGTAGCTCATAGAACAGACTTTAAAATACTGTTGTTGTTTATTCCCTAGTCTAGCACAATAATTAAAAATAACAGCTGAGTTGTTTTATCAACCTTCCAGACCGCTCAGGTCTTCTGGTTCTGGTCTGCTCTGCATCCCAAACACTGAGAACTTCCAGAAAATTGCGAAACAGTGATTTGAATGTAGACTAAAAACTCACGTGTGTCGAGTTGTTTTTGTATCTTAATTAATAAAACACGAACCAACATTTGATGTGTAAATGATGGCATTTTGAAAAATTGAATGTTGGTTGTTTTTTTTGTGTTTTATGCAAAGCACTTTGAACTGTCTTGTTGCTGAAAATGCTGTGCAAATGAGATTTGTACAGCAATCAAATCATAAAATTTGTGATTTGGTTTAGGAATAATGTCTTTTCACACGTAAAATTGTTCCTGTGGAAATGCAAGTGTCACTTCAAAGCCTTTCAATAACATTTCCACAAATATTTTTTCTGACTTAAAATTCGTATTGTCTCGAGGTCAACATTCTCAAAAAAAAAAAAAAAAAAAAAATGTATTATTTTCCCATTACATTCTTATTGTGTGATAGAATAATTCTTTCTTGAACACTCAAAGCAAAGTTAATGAAACAAAATGGACTGATGCGTTTACATGCCACACAAAGTGGCAGTTTTTGGATTTACTACATTTTACAGAAAAAAAAAAAGTTCTGCTAATCGGAGCCTTCGAAGAAAAACCGGGTAGATTTTATTGACGAGGTAATTGATTAAGTATTGATAGTAATAGATCTTATTGTTCCAAGTGGCACATCAATATCAGTGTGGTAGTTCCACTAAAATAGATTGTGATGGGTAGAAAGTGTGTGATATGATCACATGACAGCTGACACTTGATGTTTTTTATGTTTTCCACAGAGTGAGCGCCTTTGCATTTTAAAAGCACATAGTCTCCTTGGAGACAAGATGGCGTCCAACAACACCTTGCGCAGCTACTCCATCATCCCCTGTTTCATCTTTGTAGAGGTAAGAAGCTGTGTGTGGGTGCATGGGTGCAGGTGATAAGTCCAACATATACGATTCTTAGAAATGTGATCATGCAGATGCATCGAGCATTCATGATGAATTGTAGCAGGCTTTCAGGGAGGGACATAACTTGTCAAAGTTCACATTTACTGTTGGGTTATGTGGAAAACCTGCTGCACAATTTATTATTTTTGTTGTGTTTAAAGGAGGGTTAGAGTCTATCTTTTTGCTTGTACTGCATTAGAGAGTTGAGCACAATTACAGTGATACAGATTTTTTTTCTCTTTATTAGCTTGTGTCCTGCTTGATCACAAAATACACTGTAAGCTACTTCAAAATGTTATTTGAAGTTTAAAGCACAGTATGTCTGTCTACATTCTGTCTCAGCAGTCCTGCAGTATTTCCTCTTTTGATTTTTCGAAATAAAATGGGTCAATGTTAATACCGATCATCTTTACTTCACTGCTAGCCATTCAAAACTGTAATTGTTTTATTCCAATTCTCTAGCGATACAGAAACGATATATTTGTCTAAGTGAGAATTTATTTCACTGCAAATGACCTTTTTCAGGAGAATTATAAGCAACTTACCAGAGTAGAGAAAGTGGAAAGCATATTGTTTATTTCTGTGTGTGTGTGTGTGTGTGTGTGTGTGCGTCTGTGGGTGGTGTGTGTGTGTGTGTGTGTGGTGTGTGTGTGTGTGTGTGTGTGTGTGTGTGAGGGAGAGCTCTGCAGCCTATCCATATTTAATTATGGTGTCAGCTGAAAGTCCTTAATCAGAGAGATGTCTCAAGACACTTGGCTTTCTTCTCCCCTTTCTTTTAATATTATAGTCTCATTAGCACTCATTTGGCCCCTCATAAATTTATTCAGTGTTTGCTTTTGTGTTACACTTACACATTTGGAATATCAAACAGACCTTAATATCAGACAGTCACAGTCTCTTTAAATACAAATGTAATTTATTAATGCTGTTTAAAGAAACAAAAGGCCTTTGTGAATGCTTCACAGTGTTTTTTGATATGATCTTGCTCATGATTTGAAGTGGTTCTTTCCTGCTATCCTGCATTAAATTAATGCTAGGCTGTCACCAGTGTTTAGAACCAGAGTTAGGACTCTGTTAGAAAAACAAACAATTTTGACGAAGTAAGCACTGAAAACAGTTTGGTCGAATTACTGCGTCATCAAGATGTTTTGAAAATTAGGTTATTTACCATACAAACTTTTCTTGATCTGAAAAACTTCAACATCAAAAACATAAAACAGAAGACACTTGTAGGGAGGATAAATACTTTTTAACTTGGCTTTTTCAGTCATTTGAGGGATTCTTATATGCGTCCCATTATTATTATTTTTGACCTATTTTTTTTTTGTTGATGTTTTTTTTTCCATCTGAAACTAAAAAGTAAAAAAAAAAGTCTCACCACAAAACATGTTAGACTAGCAAGAGAAATATATTTAATAACAATTAATATGACAAATGTTTAATAATTTGTTGCTATATGACATTTCTTTTGTATCGTCCTCCATTGCTGTGCCTTGTTGCTGTGCAATGTGATAATTTTCTGGTGCCATGGCCAGAACCTGACATTAAATGTTTAATTGGGCTTTGCTAATTATGCCTTTGCAGTTTGTTTACTGATGTGTCACTGGAAAGGAGTTGAAGGAAAACCCTAATTACATTGTTGATGTATAAACACTTTTCGGTTTAATGCTGCCAACTGTGTGTACAGGGGGTTCAGAGAGATATGATGCTGAATCTCTCCAACAGATTGACTTTACTGCTTGATAAGAGGGGATCTAAATATTGATTGCAGCCATAAAGATCGTTTTTTATGTTGTTCCGGTACTACAGAGCTCATATCCTTGCTTTGCAAACTATAATTGGGTTTCTTTTACTGTTGTTTTAAGCTAGGTATTGACTTTTTATTTATTTATTTTTTTAATTAGAAATTTATGTCGATGTCTGGTGTTGATGACCTGTGTTACTCATAAGATTATTTTAGGAGAAGACAAGCTTGTCTAATTTATTTGACTAAAAACAAAAATGGAGCTATTCAATTCCATCTATCACAGTGATTTCTGTTTTATGGGAATTCTAAGCTCTTTACTTCACGTAGTCAAATAAGTAAAAAGTTATTAAACAGCTTTTCACCGAAACTCTTCCAAGAATAATAAGGAATACTTTATGGGAAGATATTTTATGAGATTTTAAACCTTATTTTGTAGAAAATGTTGGTATTTGAAGAATGTTTGGCAATAAAATGAAATCAAAACCCTGGATTTTATGAGCAGGTTCTGTCAAGTTGCTCTCAATGGCCCCTTTTATTATCCAATAAATTGCTTTGCTATTTGCAGATACAAATAGCAAAGCAGCTAGTCACACAGCAGCTTACTGGCTGTTAGACAACTTGCTTAATTTAAAAAGGAGCAGCAGAATGGGAGAAGAAAGGGGTTTAAATCAATTTGGACGTGTTGTGGATGCATTGTTTACATCAGAGGAGAATGGGAAGACTGGTTGAAGATGGTGGGAAAAATTATTTTCACCCAAACTGTGGAGCGTAGCATCTCCCAGTGTTCGTTACTTCAAATGTGGACTGTTTTCCTTAATTTTCTGATTTATCTCCAAAATGAATCTCCAATGTCGCTAAAGCTACGCAGTCTTCTGTTGGTTATTTCCAGAAGATTGATGCATAGTAGCACAAATCTGAGTGTCAAGATATATTGACTTGTCAGGGGAATATTGTTGAATCTGTTGATGAAGAATCAAATGAGTTCTGAAGCGAAAAGAGGATCTAAACCCGCTCTAAAAAAGTGGGCAGTGAATGTGGATCCATGTTTAAATTTCATGCATCCATAAGATGGTGGATCAAAACTCTTCTGACCTATCAAAAGGCTCATCTGAACCCAATAATGTAGAATAGGAATGAAAGTCGTTCTGCTGCTGTGAAAGTACTTTGTTGCTCAGCAGGAAGGCCGACCCTCTCAGGTAATATAACTGCATACATTTGTAGATTATAATGGAAGGACTCACATACGACATAATTAGTCTTTTACATTAGTATTGAGACAAATCAAATGTAAAAGTTGCTTTTTTGTTTCAAACAGTACAGTTGCTTAAATAGCACAGCTATTGTAGGTCATTTGTACTTACAATGACAAGTGCATTTTAAGACTGTATTTAATATCATTTGATCTAAACACATGAAGATCTGTTTTTAATGACCCTCTGATGTCTATCTTATTATTCTATTATCATAGGTCTATGTCTATATCTGCTTTCTATATTTTTCAAGATTTTCCAGCTTTTCTTGGTTCGTGTCTCAATAATATTCAACATCTTCCTTTAACGCCACAACTAAAGCATGTTCCCTTTAAATATAGCTTAACTATATTTAAAAAAAATATATTTTAATTTAATTGTCTCTCATTTTACTTTTTCTGTTTGTGCTTCCCTGCTTACTTGTGTCTTTGTCCTTTTTATTCTCCCTCCTTCCTCCTCACCCAGCCTGTCACAAACATAAGAAGGCAGAAGGATGCCTCTGTCACATGACCAAAAGAAAACAACCTGATTGGATACGGCAGTGAACATGGAGCTCAGTGCCAGGGGCTGCGTGACATAAAGGATGGTTATTCTTGAACATGCCACTTGTGTAACTTTTTCGTCTGTTAGTTAAAATCCTGATTCTAATTTGCTTCAATGGCATTCTGCAGCAATGAAGAAACTCACACTGTCAGATAGAAAGCAACAATGTTACTAAAAAAAGAGGAAACTGTTTGCTAGGAAGCTGGAACACAGGGGAGAAGAAGCAATGATGAGACAGAGTGGAAGGGGGAAAAATAAACAGGAAGGAAGTGAAACGTCGCTTATTGACATGAATAAAGGCAGATCTGAAAAGGCAATCTGTTGAGACGGAGCCAAAAACAGATATACCCTGCATGAAGTTACGTAATGTGCAAGCTACAGGCATACATTTTGTTGAAAACGGGTCAAAGTAGACTCGTCAGATTTCTGTTAAAAAAAACAAAAGCCTTAAAGCAGCATCTTAAAACAGCATTATATTGTCAGTAATATACAATGCCTATGAAAAATCTTGGATATTTTTCTTTTTTTATTCCCTTTATAAATCAAACATGATAGACACAATTTTGTTTTTTTGACAATACTACAAAAAACCCTTTTCAATGAAAAAATAAAAATATTTCTGTAAAATAATGACAAGTAACTGAAAATACTTACCATAAAATAAGTGATTGCATAAATATTCAACCTCTTTCAAGTGACGGACCTAGTTCAGTGCTACAATAAAATAAAGTCTCTCATAGCAGGTAAAAAAAAACTGTGGGAAAATTGATGGTGAATCTTAAGAAAGTTCTTTGGTGATGGAGCTTTCTAGCTAGACGTTCCTCGGAGGACACCAAACACAAACAATCACCACAAATGCACCATCCTCAATGTGCAACATGGTGGTGTCAGCATCATACTGTGGGAATGCTTCTCAGCAGCAAGCCCTGGAAAGTTGGTAAATGTAGAGGGTAAAATCAATGCAGCAAAACTGTATAGAAGTCTTGGGAGAAAGAAAACTGCGGCTCTGGACAACATCCTTTCCCCAGGAAAACAAAGACCTGAAGCATCCAGCTAAAGCTACTGAAAGTATTGTTGGACATTTAACATGGTGAATGTTCTGAAGTGGCCCAGTCAAAGCCAAGACCTCATTTTGACAGAGAATTTGTGGCAGGACTTAAAAAAAGGTCTGCTGACACATAATGGAGCTTGAACAGTTTTGAACAGAAGAGAAAGTCCGATTGAGACATGACGACCTGTCATTGCATCCAATGCTGACTTGAAGTGGGTAAATATTTACGCAATGACTTATTTTATCCTAAATATTTTAATTTGTCACTATTTTGTAGAAATCAGTTTTCACTTTGATATCAAATGGTTAGGTTTGGTAAATTCTCCTTGTCAAATCAGAAACATTTTTGCTTTTATAATTTATCTATTAAAACAATAAAAATGGTAAAGCAGCCAAGGATGTGAGCACTTTTAACAAGCACTGTAGGCTTCTGAACCCTTAAAAAAAATTTAAATTATTTTATCTTGCTCAGCATTTTATGTTCCAGAATGTCAAATCACCAGGTCTGTCATCTACAAAGCAAGAAAACTGTCAACAATAATTCACAGGATGTGATGTTTTTTTTATTTTTTATCAGTTATTTCATGACTGCACTGCTGAGCAATGGGATTTACCATCAGGTAACTGCATTCTGGGTAGGTACTGATCAGCAAATGGACTAATTAAAGCTGATGGTTTGGACAGGAAATGCAGCAGTGACTTCAAGAGGAGAGTTTCTGCTTCCTTTTGAGAAGAATTTGCTGTCAGCACAGGCTGTTGTATTTCAAAGTAGTTGTGAAACAATCTGAAGCCTAAAACATCATAATTGTCTCATATTGATTTTTTTTTATCTAAAGGTATATGGTAAAGAGCAGAATTCAATTAAATAATAATAATAATAAACTTTATTCCACCAGTTGTACTTTGCAAACAGATTTTGCTTTTTGTTAATGATTTAAAATAATATCTTAATCATTGTTAATTTTAATGGTGCTGCTTTGTTATATGGTAAATAGCATTGGAATTAAAGTAAATTCAGCAAAAGCTGAGAATAGTGAGCTCTCATGTTGCTTCAGTTTGACATCAAAACTGTAATGTCGGGCTTTGTAGTTGGCAGGTTAGAGTTGGATGCTTATTTCTGTCAGTGTCTTCTCTAGTCTGCTAACATAACTTGACAGTGAACTGAAAAACTGTGAGTTTACGCAGGATTTATGCAAGATCTTTCTATCGACTTTAAGATGTGAGGAAGTGACACTAATTAGGCAGATAAAAGTGTTACCAACTAATTTATTAAAAGTATTATAATCACTGTTCAATTTGTTTTGATAACTCACTAGTTCAACACCTTATTATCATGATGCTTTATGATTAATAAACTATTAATCATTTAATTTAATGTTTTGTCCTGGATTCACCTTGTCCAGATACCTTGCAGTATTCTATATAGTGAGGTGTGTGTTTTACTCTAACATTTAAAGAATATCTGTGGAACCATTTTATGACTGCCAGTCTCTTTGGTCTGCTGTTCACTTTGCTAATGCAGCATGACGCGGGCTGAGGACTGAATTTAATAGACCTATAAGTTACACTTTAAGCTGCAGAAAGACATTTGTTCAGGTGTAGAACTGTCATATAAAACCAGCGAAAGCAGCCGCCAGGGATTAGACTGCACCTCTATTTTCAGTTCATTGGAGTTACCACACTTTGACATTTTCATCCAAAGGTAATTATAGCACTGACTCATGACCAAATGTGTTTTGTCACAAACTTGTTTACGAGAACTTGAAGAGTCAGTTGAAGCTGGAAAAACAGAAATTGTTTTTCCCTCGTGGCCCATATTGGCAACTTGAAATAGCCTGATGATGTTTCACATGTCTGGTAGCTAACTAGTGTTGTAATGTGATCAGCATAAAAAAAGACTTGAGTTTTGAGTCTCCAACTGACAATCGAAAATCGATTTTGGTCATCTGATGATTTTTGATTCATCTTTCATATTCTGTGTCTTCCTACTTGGAATTTTCCTGTTTTTGAATTATTTTTGTTCCCCAAAGGCAGACGTTGCAGTTTCAAGCAAAGTATTTTTTTTCATTTAAAGCTCCATAAAACATAGTAAGACATTAGGTCAAGTTTGCTGCAACATTCTTTACCTTGTTTGTTGCTCTCTTGCGATCTTTTGTCTGAGCTTTTTAAAAATGCATTACCCTTAAGCCTGTCACAATTCTGCGTTACTGCAGTGCATTGCATGACATTTTGGGAAGCAATGGAATTTGCATTTTAAACTATGAATAATACCTATTTTTGCATAGTTGGAGCTTATTTGCAAAGGTGTTCCAAATCATGAAGAGCATCAAGATTATTTGTATTAATCTGACATTTAATTTGCTTGTCACTGATAGCTGTGGGCTCATTTGTGACAATTTACTATCGGTACATTGACTATAAGAATGTCTATTCATATAGACATATGTCTATATAAGGTGCATATTTTTTTCAAATTAGCACCTTACTCATAGAGTGCAGTTCAAATTTTTCAGATTTTCAGAGCAGTAGCTCCCAATGTGATCTTTGTAAAATATGGCTTCACTCGCTGCATCATTTGGAAGAAAATATGTTGTTACCAAGCAAAGATTTGCATAGGCACACACAGATAAAGTATGCACCACACACACATTCACACCTGGACACCACAACATAGCCATCTGTTAAAAGACTGGATGAGCCAATACAACACTGTTAGCCATCAACACACGGTTTTTTCAGAACACCAACATTCCAGACGACTTCCTGCAGACTGTTAATATAAGATCGACTTTAATTAAAATATTTTCATGTAAAAAACAGCGAAGGCTTGACTCTAAAGATATCACACTTTGTCGCAGAAATGTGCATAGTTTAAAGCATTCACAAGTTTGTTGTTTAAATGTTTCAGCTATTCATTTAAGATAAATTGGGAAAAGGTTATCAATTTAAATGAACTGCTGATGGCACTTTGTCATTGATGTTACAGCAATTCGTCATCATGAGCATGAATGTGGCGACAGGTTGGGTGAACAGCTAATATTTTTGAACAGGAAGAAACGTCCAGTAGAGCCAGTTCAATTTGAGAAGCATCTGCCATGGCAGGGAAATGGGCTGAGATGACAGGAATTAAAAACTTATATGGCTCAGTTCAGGAAACTGACGAAGCAAAAAACAGAAGCCCTGAGCCAGTGTGCTTTCCATGGGAAAGAAAACCAGAGGGAATTCACATGATAAATGGGAGCCATAGCTCTGTTAATGAATCATTTCTGAAAAGAGACAGAATTTACTAGAATCACCTGGCCATGCATACCTTTATAAAAAGACAAATGCAGAAGAAGAGCAAAATGTTAAAAGCTGGTCAGTAATGGACCCATCTGACAACAGTTTGAGTTCCAGTTATTTCAGTGCCACTTCCACATGTCCTTTATAAATATGTATACTAGTTACATGAATTTTGGGGAAATCTACTGAATATGTTTGGTAAATTTCAACAAACTCAGATGTCTGTCTTAATGACTGAATCAGTCTCTGTAGTGACAGTGACACTTAGTGTTGGACACAGGTACTACAGGTACGCATGCTTTCAGAATCACACAGACCTCTATTATTGCATTGTTTAAAATTGTAAATATGTCTCTTTTTCTGCTGTCTGCATATAACACCTTTTTTCTGCTTTTCTACAGTGTACAGATTGCACTAAAGTAGAATTAAATATAACACCGTCACCATTTATCCTTCTCTTCTTGCTTAACTTATGGAGTGGTTTTGGCAGCTTTATGGCATGAAATCGTCTCATCTATCCTGTTTGACGTTAACCCAAACGGCTTCTTCGATTGGCTAGAGTTGCAGTACATCATCGGATGAAAAGCACGACTGCAGCTGATTTTTAGAAACCTCACTGAAAGCCCCCGTATGCAATGTGGTGCATCTTCTGTTCCACTGCCGGTCCATTATCGGTGACTAAAGAAGCTATATATAAACAAAATATATTTATATAAATGAAAGATGCCTGCAGCTGTGTTTAGAAAAACACATCAAAAGGAGGCCAGAGACAAAAAGATGATGATAGTGGGATAAAAGGATGAGGGGGTGAGGGAGGGAAGTGGAAAGAGATGATGATGGTTTGTGTGCGTGTGTGTGGGGTGGAAGGGTTCGGGGGTGGGGGGTTTGCATCACAAGAGTTAGCATGTGATCGAGGGAAAAAAAGGGGAGAGAGAGGAAGAAAGACGTACAATTTTAGAGGATTTATGTTGTTTTGATTCAAATCTGCTTTATTACCTCAGAGAGAAGAGAAGAGCAACGTTCAAGAAAGCAGATTCTTAACCTAAAAGCTGAATCAGACCAACCTCAACTTGCAGTAAAAACTAACGGCTCTCTCTTTCACTTTTTTCCCGCTCTCTCCGTCCATCTGGCCCCGACATGTTTTTTGTGCAGCTCGTCATCATGTCTGGCACCGTGCTCCTGGCCTACTACATGGAGTGTACGGACCTCTTCAGTGTACACGTGCAGGGCTTCTTCTGTAACGACGCCGAGCTGATGAAGCCATACCCCGGCACTGAGGAGTCCAGTTTCGTCCCTCCCCTCATCTTCTACTGTGTGGTCGCTGCTGCTCCCACTGTTATAGTGAGTAAAAAAAAAAAAAAAAAAAAAATCTTCTAAAGTTGTCCTGTGATAATTGTCATATTTATGGTTTTGTTATATTTTTAATTAATTATTTTTATTGTTTCACCATAATTTCAAGTTTTGGCTTTTAAGAAAATAAAATATTTTAACTATATCTTGTATTTAAAGAAAATACTTGCACATTTTATATTTTTGTTAAAGGTTTGGTATTATGTGTTTGTCAGGCAAATTGTGCCATTTTACAGCACAATCAGCTAACCTTGTTACCTTCAAGTGTTATAAAAATGATGTACATATTTAACATAACTTAAAAAAAATTGACTTCACAATTTGGTGCCTTAAAACTGGCCTCTGTCTCTTTAAGAAGCTCACTCTTTCCAACACTGTGATGCTTGTCAATTATGACATTTGACCACAGCACTGAGATGTAGTTGTTATGATAAGCTCAGCAGACACACAGTTCCACCAGGTGTTTTCTAATTGCTGCTGCCACTAGTCCAGAGGAGCTGTGAGGAGAAGGCGAGGGGGAGGTGTGTTCTGGGAAATGGAAGCTCAGCTGGAGGCTCCTGCTCCAAGGAGGCTGGCTCCTTGTGGAAAACCAAGAGCGGCGGAGATACCAGGGGCTAATAGCCCGGCTTATGTATGTGCGTTTCCAGTTTTTTTGAAAAAAAAAAAAAAAACTCTGTGGTGCATCTTGTAGTGAGATGCGCTCTATAGTCTGGAGAATACGGTAAATAAAAACCTCATTCTAACACAATTGAACATTGTGAATTCCACACACTTGATCCCAGTGCCCATGCACTGTTCTGAACAGCAGTGTATCCAAGCTGACACATATATCTAAAAGACATGCCAGGACTTGGTGTTTTCCCAATTCTCCTTTCCTTTCCCATGTTTTGACCTACATAACACTATTTTCAGTACACTAGAAAATATTAGACAATAGAAAGCAATGCCACAAGTACAACACTGTTTTTAAAGGTCAGCAGATATTAAAAGTAATTTTAAAATATTCTTTAAGAAAAATTATAAAGTCAGCACTTTAACCTATGCAAATCTGTCTCTACCCTGTTAAAGTTGTGAAACCATTCATCATAAAATAAGAAGAAATGAAATTACTCTTGCCTGGTCATATCCTGAAGTTTGGGCCTAATCTTTATTTTAATCATAATATTTGCTGGTAATTGCTGTAGTGAAGTGTGAAGCTTTACTCTAACAAACACTCCCAGTGGTCTTTTTTTGCTGAGTTTCTTTCAGCTATTGCACATTCCTCTTCTTTGGCAGCTTTGGGCTACTTTCTGTCATTTGGTAATTTCAAATCTTAGAAAACACTGGTCGCATGTAGAGTTTTTGATCTTTAGGCCACCTTCATTTAATCTCTATCAGCTTCCTCTAACTCTTATTCCGGTAACTTGAAGATGCATGACTTTTTATTCCTGCTTCACCTCATGACCACAGTCCACTGCAGCTACAGCATCGATGTGTCAATATTATAAATTAGTAAGTGGGTCAGAATTTTCTTCAGCTAATTACAGGAAAGAAAGTTTTGGTGCCCAAAATGTAAAGATCGAGATTAGAATTGAACTAGATTCAATGAGGCTACAGATAACAGAGCCTATAACAAACCAATACATCATTATAGACTGACTTTTGTCATTTAGTAAAGTCTTTAATTAAAGAATATTTGTAGCAAAACAGGAAACAAAGAATTTTAGTACATGATTTTATTTTTAGATTGTTGTAAAAGTATCTTTTATCACCCAGGTCATGAGAGACCTGTTTACTCAGGAATAAACCTAAGCAATAAACCATTTCTTTAAAATGCTCATTGGTTCTAGAATCTAGAACCAACTTTGAAAACCTGAGATATGTAGAAACCATTTGTTACTTTAAATCTGTGTTTTTAAATAAATGTTAAATGTTGTGCGTCCATTTTGAATTTGCATTTTCATATTTTGCAGAGTTCCTATCTCATTAGTTATTTTTTTGAAAGCGTTTCAAATGACTTTTTTGCGTGGATGGTTTTTACAAATACTTACCCTGAAACTTTGAGCTGCAGAGACTCGAGTGCGGGCTCCCACATAGAGCCAGCCATCTTTATCAATGTGCTCAGCATCTTTCGGTCATTAGCAATTATGCTGCTTCCTCAACCGATCGGTGCACAGAAAAATGAATATGGTATCTGGCAGCATCTGCTGATAATCCAAGTCTTTTTCAAGCAAGGTAACCTCTTCCATTTGTTTCTCTTTTAATTTTTGTCTTTTATTTGTTCCCATTGCACACTAAATGATGCCCCCTTTATATTTTTTGTGTTAATTTTCTTGTTGATCTTGACACTTGTTATTATTAATGTTGATAATCTTTTTCCTTAAGACTATTGGTTAAAAATACCACCTGTGAAATTTGCGGCAGTTTGCCACGAGGTGGCAGTGTTGCTCCATTCTTACGTTTTAATCCAGACATCATGACTGATTTTCTGTTCATTATCTAAACAAACCATAATATATGCTTTTTTTGTTTGTTTGTTTGTTTGATTGTTTCCAATTTTATAGTTATAAACATGTGATGTAATGTGAGTCAAAACAGATCACATACGTATGTAAGAGTGTTATGCAAATGTATTAAAATTGTTTAATCTGGTGAATATAGTAATTTTGATATGGATTTAAAAAGTTTCTAAAACATTAGGTTGTTTGGTTTATCTAAAGTATATTAATTACTATAATGGAACAAGATGACACATTTTCACTATTTCACTATTTCAGTTCATCAATGTTGATTTTAGGGTTAAAAATAGTCTACTTTTTGTGTATTAAATAAGTGTTTATTGCATCATGAAAAAAAAAAAAAAACACCCACATGTTATGTTACGATAACATATGTGGAACAGATTGCACAATTTATTCTCGGTCCATCTTTTTAGCTCTGATACAACCAAGCATATAACTTTTCAAAAATTGGTGCAGATCAACAAAGAGTGAAGACTGAATGAGGTAACTCTTTGGGTCGGCTTGGCAATTTAACGGAAATCGGAAGAATTATTTATCCGGCTGGCAATAGTGTGCTGTATGTGGTGGTGGTATATGAAGCGTAGCCACTTTATTTTCTGTGGAGAAAATAATTGTTTGTGTGTCACTGATATGAGGAGCTTCTTCAGCACCCTTGGGCTTACTTCAGAGACTGTTTAGGATTTAGTTTCTGTTGTTGCTTTTTTTTTTTTAAAGAAAATACATTTTTATGGTCAATACATTTCTATTCAACTGTAAAGAATACAATTTTTTCTTTACTTAAATATTTATAAGTAACCTTTCTGTTAATAGTGCTTATACCTCAGTACTAAACATAGGGTTTTGTACTGAGGTAGAATGATTTTACAAGTCTTATTAGCTATGACAAAGAAAATGATAAAACATATTTCAGACTTTATTCCCTAACCCACAGTCAAATGTGTGCCTCTGTCCACATGTCCATTTGCCCCATCCACCTACTAGTTAGCTCATTACGTGCTTTCTAGCATCATATACTTTTATTATAACAGGTTTTTAGAGCTTTCAAATTTAAATCATGTCTACTGTGATTGCATCTTCCCTGCAATCACAGGGAAGATGTTTGCTTGCACTTTAAAAGTCTTAAAAGCCCTGAAAGATGTCTGTACTTTTGACATACAGCCAGTGCAGAAATCTTGAAAGCACATCTTGTAATTTCTACGAAATTGTATAAACATAATGGTGGGACACTTTGTATCAGCTTTTCAAAAAGAAGTGTTTTGTTTAACATTTTCTATCCAGTGCTATTCTTTTCATTAATTCTGTTATAAAGCCCACTAAAGAAAGATGAACATGATGAACGTTTAGTTGTACAGTTTGTCCCATTTCCTTATCTTAGGTTTCACTTCTTTCTCAGCAGACATCCGCTGCACTCATTTCAAAGTATCAAGAAGCACTTAATTATGGTTGTAATTGTTAAAGCTGTCTGATTCCTAGACACACACCACCTGTTCGTTTAGAAGAAGATATTACAGTCCATATGCTTCTTTGTGTCTCGAGCGCTAATAATTGCTTATTGTCATTATCTTTTGATGCTTTAAGGCCCTAGAAAGTGCTGCTATGGTTGTGCTTATCTAATGTGCCATTGCAATTCTTGTGCCACAAATAAAACGCATCACGTTGCTTGAGTTTTCTGCCTAAAGCTAAGTGTTACTATGAGTCAGCACTCCACAATGCATCACATATTGATCCTCTCAAATAGTTTTCATTAGTGTCAGTTCCTTCTTTTGCTCTGAAAGTGAATCTGTTTTTAGTTTTCAATAAAAATTCTTCATTAGCAATCAGAATCTTCTTATTACGGATTTCTCTCTCTCTTTTTTTTTTTTTACTCTTCTGTCATCCTTCCCTGTTATTTGCATAAAAAGATTCCTTATCCATGCGTGAATACCCTGAACTTTTTAAGTTGCGCCCTCTGTGTTTTGTAATGGTGTATAGATTGAACCTGAGGCTCTACATTTAATTCTGTTTCCACTTGTCTTACAAAACAAAGAAGCAGCCGATAAAAAATGAACGACGACAGGGCTGAGATACTAGCCAATTAGTACAGACGCAGTAATTTAAGCAGAATTTTCCGCATGGCTGGACCATCAAGGATCTGTGGAGGTTAGATAGGTCGGGTTCAAGCAGTAGTCTATAAACTTGTTCACTTGTGAAGAAGGGTCTGAAACTCAGTCCAGTCCCTTTGGTGCCAAGACAATGATGGATAGAATGGTGTTGTTCATGAAAAAATGCCGGTCCAGCAGAAACACAGTTGAAATTTTTGAGAAAGCAGTGATCCCATGACAGCCTGTTGGAGTTTTGTAAGAAAAAAAAAATCCCAGCATGGGAATGGGAGTGACAGTTTATTATTTTTTAATCCTTGTCTGTTTTTGGAAAAGAAATTCTGCATATTTTTTCTGCATACCCTTTCCATACTTTGTCACCTGAATCAGCTGGTTTACAGCATATTTTGACATGTTTTTTTTTATTGACAAAATTTTAACAAATCTTTAATATTCCCAAAAATATTCCTATGGTGGATTATTGAAAAAGGTTTAAATAATTTTTGGCACAACAGGTTTTAATCAAACGTAAATAAAATGATTTAAGTAGATATCTTTTTTTCAAAACTGATCTTTGCCATTTATTTTAGTACTTTATTTGAAAAAGAATAATTTTAAATGTGAATCTCCAAATGGTATGAAACATTTTGGGCTTAACTGTACCAGAATCAAATTAGTTGCAAACCACAGTAAGTCGTCAGCAGAAATTCAACCCATAATGCGTGCAACATGTCTGTAAAAAATTTAACATGGTGAACTGCTTTTTATTTTTATGCATATATTACATTATGAGTTTCTACGCTTAAAATTTATGAATTAACAAACGGTTCTTGAATAACAAGATGCTAACCGTGTAGCAAGCAGCTTGTCAACTTCTGAGGCAGAAGAAGCAGAAGTTTGATTTATTGTGGATTTAATTAATTTTGACCAGTAGAGTTACTTACTACACCTAATTAATATTGATTTGCTAATTAGGTCATTTGACATGTTTTTCTATGATAAATTCAGCTTTACATATTTTGTAGCATATATTTAGTGTCTATTAATTTGGACTGTTACTCATTAACCCTAGAGATAGAGCTAAAAAAATTGATGCACAACCTATCACAACTCTTGAAACTGAAGAATTAATCACAGGCTCTTCTTAACGTGGGAGCTGAATTTGAAATGCCACAGTTGAAACTGGCGATGAGTAAAAGCTTCTTGTCTTCAATGGGCTGAAGGCAACAGTTCTGCACAGGAAATGAACAATCTAGATACAAACTGAATTCAGCATAGAAACGTTATCGAGTTAAACGTTTCACTTTTTATTTTATTTTTTTACTACAAAGATACTGTTTAACCTATTTAACCTATTCAGATCTTGAAAACCATATTCAATATCACTGTGTCAGTTGAACTCTGAGTTGTTCCTTGGCGTCTGAAATGATTCATGCCGTTGGTCGTTTTCAGTCAGTTTCCATGACATTTCTAGAAAGGAAAGGGGAGTTAACATGGGATGTAACAATGCAGTCATGCAGTAGTACCTAACCTTTACAGTAGGGAAGCAGACTCCAGTGATTCAGATACTTTAAGGCAGGATGTGGCTGTTTGGAAATGTTAATGTCACCAGCTGGAAATAACAAACTCATGTGCCAAGTATGAAGTACTAAAAGGCTTCGAGGGCGATTCCACTAAAGTTGTTGCTGGTGCTTTTTGTTAACTCTCAACTGACACAAACTCAAAAATGTAGTCAGTTTTTTTTTTTTTTGAGTCATGATTCATAACATGACTGCTTCATGTAGGCTTTTATGTACAATTTGCAAGAAGTATTTATCTTTTAAACTTTTCCATATTTTACCATCTTGCAGCCATAAATATTACATGCTGTGCTGTATTTTTATGTTTTATAATAAGGATTTGGCATAAACCAGTGGTATGGTTGTGTGAAGACCTAAATCCAATAGAGAAACTTTGGTAAGATTAAAAGCCTGTTGTTCACATACACACTCTGTCCAGAAATAAGCTATGAGATATTTTTCAGGAGGAGCAAAATGCTAGTTTCCAAACGTACAAAATAACTCATAAGATTTGAAGCTGTAATAAAAGCAAAATGTGGTTCTAAAAGTATGGACAATAGAGGGAGTGAACATAAATGCAGTTCATTCAATTTTTATGACTTAAAGATCTTGAAAACCATATTTAATTTTCCTTCTACTTGCAGGATTCCATTACTTTGTGTTGACCTGTCTAATAAAATCCATTGACGTTTTCTTTTGCATGGGATTGAGTCCAACCGATGCGAACACTTTTCCAAAACACTCTAAATTTTTAGCGATTTTTTTATTTATTTTTGCCAGCATTTACACATCATTTCTTCCTTGTAGATGGAAGAAAACATTCACAAGACAGAAAGGGGCGGAAGAAAATGCAAGTGTCCTGCGGCGTCAAACAAACTCTTTTAGAAAACAAACAAAATAGCATGGCTACAAATTTTGTGCTAATATGTAATAACTGCATCCACAGCCTCCTTTTAAAACACACATATATTCTGTAACAGCGTTCACCACCCCAGGCGGCGTTCAACAAGTTCCATTTTGTGTGTCCAGCAGCAGTTTCTCCATTAGACCTGATGTAATGTCCGCTCCATAATGGACCTGAAGAAAGGCTGCATTGGAACACACTCATTTATGAACACAGGCCAAGCCGGGACAAAATGTCCTGATGATTTTTCATAGTATGCCAAGAGTTTTGCTCTTTGTTTAGCCATGTTTGTGTCCCTTTCTGTTTGCATCTTGACCTCTGATTCTCTGTTTCTTTCCTGTGGCTATTTTCTAAACTCATGTAGATCTTCATCGGGGAAGTGTCCATGTATGTGATGAAATCAACAAGGGAAGCTCTCCTTGCTCAGGAGAAAACGATAGTGACAGGAGACTGTTGTTACCTCAACCCGCTTATTCGCCGCATCATACGCTTTATAGGTAAGAACATCGGCATGTCTTGTTGTCTGAGTCCACTTGTGTCGAGGGTTAGTGGACAAGAACAAGCACATGTTCTTGTTCAGCAAACTTTACTTGTACATTCAGTTTGCAAGTAAATCATTGTAGGTAAGATGGATCAGGTTTGGAAAAAGGCCAGTTAATAAATAGAATTATGAATAGTTCCTTGCAAAACCCTTAACCTTGTCTTAGAAGTGTTTTAAAAGGAATAATTTATTTAACTGAAATGAGTGTTTCAGGTAAGTGTTAAATCAAGTTCACCTAAAAACTTGATTTGCCTCAAGGCTACTGGCTTTATTTTCTTATTTCTTGTTTACTTCTATTAAAACATGTAATAAATTACACATAGCAAAACCTCACTTCACCAAGGTACAAGATCTGCCCATGTAAAATATATGCTCAGTATACTTTGCAGTTCTTTTCCATGAATTGATTGGATCAATGTGGCGTTGCACGGAGGTGATCAGCCACTGCTGCAGTGGGTTTGAGTTGTTGAGTTTAGAGTTCATGGCTCTTTAATCTCCCCCAGCAATTCTCTTAGCTAAAGTTATCCCTGTTACTTGTTCAACTTTTTCTACCAGTTTTTCCTCCCACATAACTTTCCATTTGGATACTGCACACTGTCTATTGGACAACTTGCAACATCAGCACTCTCTCCCATGATTTGGTAGGCTATAACATGGATATAACAAGGTTTTTGTGTAAAAGAAAAATAAAATCTTTTTCAGGGTATTGGGTTTGTGTAATATTCAATAAAAATAAAAAATAAAGAATTAGGGGTATTTTTTCACAATAATACAAATAAAAACCTGAACCATCTTTTTGGATGAGTTTCAATTCCAAATCGAATTACCCAGTTAAGATGCTTTCTACTTATAGTTTTATTAATATACTTTTTCCTATACGTAGCTACAGAAAAGTAAATACTAGTTCAAATATTGTCAGTAATTAAAAAAACAAATTATGAAAAATACTCATTATCATCTAAATAGCTGCAGCTAACGTGTACACAATTATCTAGCTTCTAACTGCTTTTTGCGTCTTTAATGGCAATTGGTTTCAATAAATTAATCTATCTCCACTGTTCCACTTTCTTTATTTTAGCTCATAGATTTAGTAAAACTCTGCAAAGTGATTGAAGATCTTTTGGATTTTCCTTGTACTTTTCAAACCATATTTCTTGCCCTTTAAATAACACCCCTTCAATTAGCTAACCAGTCCTGAAATACTCTTCAGACAGGTCACTTAAATTATACTTCCATCTTTTTTATTGAGTAATTTCTCCGATTTAAAGGCTCACTGAGGCTTTTCGGCTCCTATTCTCTACCTCTCCCATGTGCTCTCCTCTCGCGCTAATCTCCCTTCTCTGTTTCCCCCGATGCCCTTCACACAGTCCCCGTTCCCCTCGCAGACACCCCTTCACACGCTCATACACATGCGCTGAGCAACCACCCTCCACCCAAAGCCTGGATGACAATACAAAGGATAGTAATTTCATGGCTAAGCAGGCTAGATAATCAGCAGCCATATTTCACAGCAAACGGAAGGCAGACATAGACACTGGTCAGGGTTGGTGGGCTGAAAGTGTCAGTGCAATCATTCATATTAAATCCTATTTTTTTCCCCCTTCTGTCTCTGTTTTCTTCTCTGCTCCATTCTCACTTTTACTTTTTGCTAATAGAACACCTTTCTCTCTTTTTTATGATGCATTTGTAAATGCTGATAGCTAGATTAAAATAAACGCCCCGTCTCTGTTTGATCACCTCCACATCGCACCTGTTAACCAGGAGAGTATTTGCATTCACTGGTCTGTTTCAGTGTTTCTTCATTCAGGAAACACTGCGGCGTATTCAGTGGAGCGATTACCTACATAATCCAAGTTCTCAATGAAAAAGCTTCCTGCTGATACATAGTCGCACCGATTTTTAAGAGAAGTAAGCCTGTGCATACAGTCTTAGTTGAGCTAATCTCTGTGCATTCTGAGCCGTCTTTGCCAAATAGATTAGTGGGAGTGGAGAGTGTGTGTTAGCAAAAAAAAATCATCTCTCTAAGGTTACACAGGGTTTCCAAACTGTTTGGAAAATTACAGAATTGAACTTAACATTTCCCGCGCATGAATACACATAGAAAAGACATTAGAACTGTTAAAACTATATGAAATTTGTCATATTTACAGACTTTATTATTACCTATCCCATGACTTAAAAGTTCTGTTCGTTCCTACTGTTGTAGAAGTATCTGAATTGAAATTCATCAACTTTAGGTGTAGAAAGCATGAAATGTAAATGTGAAAAATGCTAATGCTAATAATAATGTTTTCCAGAAACCTGATGTTCATTTGGATTTCATTTGGTGCTTCTGTGGTTTGGATGATTAGAACCCAAATTAACTCAAAACAAAACTTATGCAAATGCTGCTAAAGTTTGTTACATTCATTTTGTTTTAGTTCTGTGAGTTTTTACATGCTCATGTCTGCTCCCGTCTCCCAGGTGTGTTTGCATTCGGCCTGTTTGCCACAGACATCTTTGTCAATGCAGGCCAGGTAGTGACCGGAGGCCTCTCGCCCTACTTCCTGTCTGTCTGCAAGCCCAATTACACCGGCACAGAGTGTCGGTTCAATCACCAGTTTATTGTCAATGGAAACATTTGCACTGGGAATCCCATTGTTGTGGAGAATGCACGCCGGTCTTTCCCATCCAAGGATGCCTCACTGAGTGTTTACTCTGCTGTGTACCTGACGGTGAGTAGGATGCGTCTGACCCCGTGGTTTACTCTGTGGGATCTTTTGAGTCAGCAGCAGCTGCGCTTCAGTTCATGTTTATTTCACTTGTATTCAATACAAACATTTTTTTTAATTATTTTTTGAAAACTAAGGTGGACATCTTTTCTGCTACAAGTGTAATTTGTATGTGTTTAACAAGCCTACAGAGATACAACAATGAGTTTTTCCTCATCATTGAGTGTTCTTTTTTATAATGTTTTCTATCAATAGAAAACATTGGATAGTGATTGATTAGTAGGCGATTTGGCATAGCTAAAAATCAAGATCCAGACCAATATATAAGACCTTGATTATAGAGGAACAGCCAAAAGGTTCAAAGTGAGAAAACAGAGCAGCAAACTTTACTATAAGAATGTTATACTGAACCCTAATTAAAGAACTTGGCAACAAGACAATAAAGATGTAAAAGACTATTCGAATATTTTTATATGCAAGAAATGGCAACATCTACTTTACCTAGCATAATGTGTCTCCTTATTTGGTATATGGCCTATTAGTCATTGTTTTCAACTGAATGAAAACTTTTGGAATATTTTTGCTTTGAAATTAGTTTACTTCTAAAACATCGTCTTGCTTTTCTGAGATAAAATCATCGACTCATTTGTATCATTAGTTCATTCACTGAAAACTACCTATTTTAGTCCAATTTTGAAATCTTACTCAGTTTAACAAAAGCTCTATGTTTCGAAACAGTTTAATTCATCATGATGCAAGGCTTCACATCTTCCCTTCACAGCTTTGTTTTGTCTGTCTTGAATTGGTAAAATGTTTGACGTCCCTGCTGTGGGAACGTCTTTCTAACTTTATTGATCTGCTTCAGCAGAGGAGCATGGGCTTTCAGCGTTCATTTGGAACAAAGACAAGTTCATAATCTTTGAATCCTCTCCCTTGTTCCTAATTTATTTCTCCCTCTTCTTCGTCTCTAGATGTACATCACCAGCACAATCAAGACCAAGTCCAGCCGTCTGGCCAAACCTGTGCTCTGCCTGGGCACACTCTGTTCGGCTTTCCTCACCGGCCTCAATCGAGTGTCTGAGTATCGAAACCACTGCTCTGATGTTGTGGCTGGATTTATTCTGGGATCAGCCATCGCACTGTTCCTGGTAAGGGCTAAAATAAATAAATAAATCAGATGTTTTTATAACCCAGACGCATTTTTGTTGAAAAGGTTTTAAAAGTAAAAATTAGAAAGACATATCATGCCACTGCATTACAGCAAAACATATTTTTCAGCTATGTCTTTTAGCTTGCGGCTCTAGAAACAGAAATCTTGTCCTTTCTTCTGTGAAAAATATCCCAAATTCAGTCAGACTGGATTGTTGGCTAACCTTCCCATCAGGGTCAAAATATTTTTATTTTGGATTGTTTATAAGGTTTTCCTCAAGAACTGCTTTAAATTTGACTGCACCTAATTTCTTACTAATTTCTTTGCTGGTATTGTAGCCTCACAAAATCAGTAAATTCAATTGTAAGAAAATCACAATAATAGTCATCATGACTAAAAATGATCCAATGTACAAATTTTTAATTGGGAAAACCAGGTAACATCTTTATTCCCCAATGTATAAGTATGTTTTGCTCCTGGTAGTTGTGCCACTGCCAAAATGAGGTAAAATCTAGTGGCATTTGTAGTTTAATCAGTTGAAGGAAAGTAGAACAAAAATAGATTATTTTCAGAGCTGGATCCTGGCCACATATATAAATATATACATTTTAATTTTTTTTAAAGCATATGTTATGATCAGAGTTTGGAACACACAGAGACTGCAGTCGAAGTGCTGAATTCAGGCTTAATCTCACTTGATGATTAGTCATAGGCTGCTTCTTTTAGCACTACAAATCCATTGATTCAGGCAATTTGTCATCACTTTCTTTCCACTGCAGCTTGTTTAGCCATTTTTTTATTGATTTCAGTGACAAGAGAAATAAAGATGATTTATCAGGAGGATAAGCTTTAACCTGAGCTCTGAGAGGGTTCAGATACAGCTAAGGCTGGACAGAAGGTTCTTGCAAAGGATCCATTAGTTGATTGAAAGAGTAGAAGAAAGAAGAGAAAGTCCTGATGTTGCACCTGCATTTCCACAGAGATCAGCAGTTGCTCTTATTTCTGAAGAGCGTACTGAGGAAGAAATTCAGGACAAGGAAAGGGAGGAAAGTTGAGGTAAATATTGGGTTGAATTAACAGCTGTGTTTAAAATGTAAAATCCAAACCAATCACCAGTGATGTGCTGTCAAGCAGCTCAGCTTCCACCTGAAATCATATTGACTTAGTCAAGTGCAGGTTTTCTGCTTAAAGTTTAAATTGCTTGGAAGTTATTACTTCTGAAACCTTTAAGATTTTTTTTTTTTTTTTGGAGGTAGGGGGCAGTTGAGGTAGACAACTCCCTAAAGAGGAAGCAAGGTAAACGGATCCAGCAACAGCCTCAGAAGCCTCATTACTTGTAGGTTCCGCTTGGCCCTGAGGGGGGTCAGAGCAGGAAGAGGTGTGAGAAGCAGGCAAGGATACAGAGGAAGACTGAAGAGGAAATGTGGGATTAATTTAGGTGCTCTGCTTGGCCTGGTTGGTAATTTAGCTGAATCTACAACCCGTATGCCACGAGTTCAGAGAGAAACTTATAGATGGTGTAATTGTACTGCTGCTCAGCACCTTTCAATTTATTTTTGTCCAGGGAGTTTCAGTGCTGAAAGTACTAATTTACTCTGGCTTTAAAGAACAACTCCGATTTGCAGGGACATTCAAGAGAAGAAAACCACAACAATGGATTCAAAGCAATCTCTTTCAGCATTACAGACAGCAGCAGTGGCAATGAATGTATTGAAAATAAAGTTCAGGCACCTCAGGAACATTCCAGAGAAATTGTCATTTGTTTTTCATGAACAATCATATCATAGCTTTTGCTTGTTAGCTGTGAAAATCCTGTTGGCTTGGAAAATTATATGCCTTGAAATGAAAGAAAAAAGTTGAAGCTACTTTCTGGCCAACATTTTTTCTTTTCTTTCATTTTTTTTTTAACCAATAAAACAAAATGAGTCTCCACTGTTCAAGTAAGAACTGTTAAAGTTAATTGTGAAACTTTTAACAAATAACTGGATAATTTTGACTTCCCGTGGTCATTATTATTATTATTATCTTTTGGATTTCAATCTACTGTATTTTACAATACTGCAGCTTTTTTAGAATAACTAACGGGTTCAACTGTCCTGTTTTTATCATATCTACATACATTCACATGTTGCTTCAGTTTTTTTAGTTAATAGTATTTCTAATAATTTTGTCTAGAATGTTACAATCAGTTTGTGAAGAAAAAAAATCCAAAATATATTGCACATAAATAGTATACAGACTTCAACTGTTCTTCCACTCTTTTGAAAAGCTATTAACCAGCATGTGTAATATAGTCTTTAAATATATGCAATTTGCTTCTATTGTCCTGACCTTTAAAATATATTTATTCTTATGAACAATTTGAGTTAAAATAGGTTTATTTTTTTATTTTTTCAGAAACAATAATGTTGATGCTGACTTTGCGAAATATGTACATGTCAGTCTTGAAAACTTGTGCAAACTAAATTTAGGAAAGAGTCTAAATCATCTACCTTTTTAACAGTTTTTTTTAAAGTATTAATATTTGCAATTATTTGAAAATGTTTATCTGTGTCCTAAAAGCCAATACGTTATAGGAGATCAAATGTTATAAGCCATTTTATTGCATTCATACCTTACAATGATTTTGTTACACATTGAAATCCAAAAGCAAATATTGGGTCACTGCCATGTTCACGACATTTTATGTGATCTGTATCCAAGTCTTTTCTAAATCTCAACTCTTGATGCTTGTACCATCTGTGACTTTTATGTCAGCATCATCCCCAGTGAGACATTTGGCTGAACTTTTGTTGCCTTTATTATTATTATTACATCTTCTTTTCATGCACACAGCTTGCTTGTTGTATTGCAAAGATTGTCATTTTGTTGAGTTACTTGTGTGTGTTTGTGTTATGTGATCTGCTCAGTCTGCCTTCTCGTTGAAGAAGAACTGAGGAGAGACCAGAGGATATTTCCAGCCAATGCATTTTTTGCTGAGATTATAAAGCTTACAGCAAATTTTCTTCTGAACAGAAAGGAAATAATGCTGGTATTCTGAACATTGCTATTAAGTGAGTTAATACTGATGACATGTAGTGAGTTTTAAAAGTACAGCAGAGAAAAATAAGCACTGGGTATCAAAAACAAATTACTCCAGAGACAATTTAGTATGAAGTGTTATAAAAAATGGCACATGGAGTAATGAAAACTCCATGTGCCATTCAGTACTTAATAAAAAAATATTTTTAGTCAGTGAAAGGTTGAAGACAAGTATTCACATGCATTGCTTAGGTGGGATTTCAACATCATCCTTCCACACAAACTATATTTTGGGTTCTCTTTTGGATTTGTAATTTACAAAAAATGTGTATAAACATATTTGTACCAAAGATGTCTAAATATATTTCTATGTATTGTTTCTTCAGCATATTGATTTTCATCTCCTAACTTTGTTGTTAATTTGGTGTTTTGGCTGTGATGTGCAGAACTGCCTTCCTCTAAACATGGCGTTTTCAAAAGAAAAACGATACATTTTAGTCTAAGATATTCTGCAAACTTAAATATACTTTTTTCTGGCTGCAGAGCTTTTTTATACACGGTGAATGGAGGCTGTTGTGATTAACTGAATTAACTAGTTGTCATTGAAAAGCTACACTGCTGATTCCAGATTATTATTTGCTGATTTTTATTTATTTGTACTTTTCTGTGAAGTCGTTATAATGTTGTGGTGAAATAATCTTCTTTCCATTTCTGGATCATTGCTCCAACAATGCTCACTAGAACATTTAAAAGTTTAGAAATATATCTGCAGGCAGTTTTATCAGTGTGTTTTTCAAATATAAGCCAGTGACGGTCTTGAGAGGGCGGTTTACTTTTCATGAGATGTGTCAAATGCCTTTTCTTGAACAACTCTAATTGAAGTCTAGATTGAGAATACATTTTCTGAGGGAGACATTCCCAGTTTTTCTTAATTTGCGGAACATTCCTGATGTTCCGTGTTCAACTTGGGACCTCTTGTCCTTGGGACAAAAGGAGAAGGAGCGACTGTGGAACATGTATACTTTTAAGTGGCTGACGTATTAAAGATTGACATACATTGATTCAGGGATCTCCAGGGAAAGATTAACGTAAGAAAGTCAGTCATTGCCTCAGCAGTTTTTAGATGGCTCATTTCCATTGTATTAACGACACAACATGAACTAGGGAGGGCTGTGTCTTTGCTACACGAGGGAATAATAGCCTGAATGAAGCTTATGAAGCTCCTGCCATGTGAACACTTTGGCAGTTTGATGGATTTGCAATTTTTATGCGATTTAATCCATAAAGAGAATAGAAGCTGGGTGTGTATTTAATCACTTGGTTGTCGTTTTTTCCAAATAGGAGACGTCTGAATTGACAATGCAGCTAGACAATATCTTCAGTCTTATCCGTTTAAGTGGCAAATTTGACACATACACTTTTGTCTTTGTCTTACATCATGCTGATCTGATGGCTTGTAATAATGCATCAAAGCAAACCAATTTTCTGGTACAAAATTGAATCTTTAGGCGAACGTTAACCTGCGAGTTAAAATTTCACCTTGTACCTGGAACAAAACGTGACAGCTTGGCTGGGGCGCCTTGCATCAGCAGCAGGACACAAAATGAAGCGAAGCAGTCTCCTGTGGTCATGGGGGAGATGTGCATCAATTGGATGAAAATTAGAATGCTGGAGTCATGCAGAAATGTATTTAAATCAGATGCATCAGCTCACAGTTTAGAGTTACTCTGACAGGTATTGATGTAGGGAATTCATTGTGATGCTGGGGAGTTATTTGCAGATTCTGGCCCAGCTGCTCTCGCCTCTTGGTCTCAGGGAACACTTGAGACCCGAACCGCTGCACACATAAAATCTTGAGAAACCTCCAGCAGTGAGTCGGCCTGCTTCATTTTCTTCTTTACTGTTGCCTGAGGGCATGGTTGGTGTCTGGTGAGGTGGAATCTCCTTCAGGCAGCCATGTTTGATTAACTAGGGGATGGAGGAGTTTAGAAGTCCTGCAACCTTGCTGGCATGTGGGCTGTTAAACGGACCTGACTGCTGGTAAAAATAAAAGTGCAGTTTGAAAGAAACTGTACACAGCTGCACAGCTGCTTTTGTAAATATCCAGGTACCAAGGAAATAAAGAGAAAATATTTCACATTAACACTTTAAATAAATAAATAAATAAGAAAAAAAACAAAAAACAACAGGGTTTCTCTTTGAATTATCCACAATATACTAGAAAGAGTATTGTACTTATGGTAAGAAATGATGGTGCAGTGGGGAACAATGTGAGCACCTTCTAAGGCTGCAGCTGAAGCATTTATTTGTATCAAAGTCTCAGCATTAACAAAAACTGATTAAAATTTAAAAATAGAGATGATGTGCCAAGCTGACTTTTAAAGACTCTCTTAATGTTTGATTGATTTTTACGCCCCTATAAACTTTATACCACAGCAGTAACTACTGAAGCAGAACATATGGTCACATCTTTCTAGAGAATCTCTTAGATACTGCGTTTCATTCTCTACAGACCGTCATACTTCAAATATATTGCTGGGGGTTTATGTGAAGAATAAAATGTCAACTTTTTATTATTACCAGATGGATATGGAGGGTAATCCACAGCTCAAACCAAGCAGGGTTTATGGGCAGTGTTATGGTGGTTAGATTCAACCTCATATTGTGAAAGTGCTGCTGCTTATTCAAACCCTCTTCTGCTCTGTGTTTTCACTTTGACATTAGCAAAAGTATGGTAGCTGTAAGGTGAAGATTTTCTTGTATGTTTGGCATTTAGAGAGTTTTCATTTTTAACTATGGAAGGAAAGCTTCTGTCAGATAAGTCTAGACTGAAAAGAAACTTAACTGCTAAATTGATTCCCAGGAAATCTTGTTGCAGACATCAACAAGTCGTCAGAAGGGTAAATTGATATCATTTTAGAGTGCACCTGACCTTTTCTTGAGTGCTGTTCTAAGTTTGACATTTATGTTGTTACGCAGTTAGTTATTTAGCAGCTGTTGTGTGGATTCATGTGAAATGTGCAAAATAACACATGCATATTGGATTCACAAGAACAAGATCAGAAAAGATTTCAGTAATACTTAGAGACACAAAAAACACTATCAATTCCCTACTATGTAAAAATCACATTTGAAGCTATAGAACAGAGATTTCTGTAATGCCAATACGATCTGTTATAGAAAGTGCCAAAACACTTAATGTAATACTTTATGAAATCAATGTCATGTACATGAAAACAGAAATAAGTTAACAAAACAAACTATATTTGTCCATCAGTAACATTCTTAATCTACAACATTTTTTTTCCTGGCATGGATTCATGAAATCCAATTCACGAATTCATGTACTGCTCTTTCTTCTAATGTGCCAATGCCAAGCAGTTTATTCAATTATGAAGCTAACGCTGGCATATTCACCCTCTCTGTGGTATGATTTGTTGGTGGTTCCAGGCATTTGTGCAGACAAAAGTTACTGAAAATATTGTTGTTCTGCTTTCCATAATTAATGGTTTGTTTTGGTTAGATGTCACCGACTTGTGATGATATACTTTAATCAGGATGTCAGTGCAATACTTGGTAAAAAAAAAAAAAGCTTTGATCTGATGCCATCAATGGCCCTGTTGCTTCCTGTCGCAAATGTCTCCTAGGCCCTAACAAGATGTCTTCACTCTGTAGTGAAGTCAGTAGCTGAACAGCTACAATACAATGTCTTGCCTTGAGTTCAGTGAAAGACTGGGTTTGATTTTGTTTTTGTTTTAGCAGATGTCACAAAACTGTCTTACTGATTAGCATTTTCTGTATTTGCATGTTCCAGGGCATCTGTGTTGTGAACAATTTTAAAGGAGTTCACAATCCAGCAACTAAACAGAAGACGGAGGAATACCGTGGTTTGCCTCTGATGACTTTTCCTCGTGTAGAGAGCCCACTGGAGACCCTCAGCGCGCAGGTAGCTCAAAACCCTTAACCTGCGATCCCCACAACTCTAATCTAATCTTTTTTATTTTTATCATTGTTGCTGGGTAGAGCTCCCAAAAGAATGGAACACCAAACTCAAATATTCTCTTTATAACCTCATCATTTGGTGCTTGAAACTTGTTGTAATAAACTATAAGTTCATTATCTTTTTTTTTACTGACGTTTTTGCCTGCAATTTTAATCTTAAGTTATAAATTTATTCTTTTTCTTGCCTATTTTCTTTTCCTTCTGACGACACAAAGCTATGACATTATGTTAGGCATGATATTTGCACTGCACTCCTTTCCATCAAAGCACACCACGCACCAGGTGAAAATAACTGTCCTTTGTTTTCATCTCCACACCTTTCTCCACTTCTGTTTTCCTCCCTCATATTTTCTTTCTTTTCCTTCTTCCCTTTTCTACTCCTCCTCAAACGTGCATTTTTCCAGAACCACTCGGCATCGATGACGGAGGTCACATGACTAAGGGGGCAGCACCGGGTCACGTTTGCGTCTCCACAGCACTTCCAGGCACAATGACGAGGACGCATGCCACGTGGCGCCGATTGCATACAACAACAACAACAAAAAAGAAATCACTCCAGAAATATCTGTTTGAATCACCTGGAGGACAGGATACTCCATGTTTGTAGTGGTTTTCATTTCGCTTGGCTCCTCGCTATTCGGCCAGCGAAGACCCACAAATCTAACCAGTGCAAACTTGTCAAAAAGCCAACTCACTGTAAACACAGGTTGCTTTTCTCCAGGTATCTGAAAGCCTTTGAAACATGGCACGTTTCTTTTGTCCTCCAGGGTGGCTCTTTGTAGTTAGCGAATGGTGTTTTGTACGTTTTTGTATGAGCGAGTGCCATAGCCTACCCTGACAATGTCAAACCTGCACACTTCCTGTCAGCTGACTCACTGTGTTACATCACACCCTGTCAGATGAAATGCCTCATTAGTCACCACATCCATTCCACTCAGTCTTAAAACTCTGCTATGGGAAAACAAAATATTGATGTTGTTGTTATGTGGTGTTTGTCATTTGTACAGAAAAAAGACAGAAATGTTCTTTTTATTATCTCTGTGCATTAATTGACCATTATAAGGTCATATTTTTTAAGGAGTTTTGTTAGTCTGTATGACTATTATGATCCATTTGGACCTGTTTGCCTGCTGTAAACCTGAATATGTTTTAGTATCAGTTTAGGTGTTTGGGGGAACAAGACTTGTCATTTTTGGAGGAAACTTGAGGAGGGTCACTGGCGTCCTCTAGGACTAAATGCAGGGTCTGGCATCAGTTGAGATCAAATGCAATATTTGAAAATGTCATTACTCAGAAAGCTTACTAGGAGTGTCATTCACCCCAATTTCCTGATTCACTCTGATGTTGAAAACAATGCCTTGAAAGCCGTCCACTGGGTCTTGCATGTGTCAGATCCATGTAAAGATTCCCTTTGTGTGCTTGTTAGAAATATGTCTTTATTGAAATTTTAATGGAGGACTTTTCTAACAGATAGATGGGGTAACAAAACTAGACAGTTTTGAGTAAAATGATTGTTTTCATGCAAACCCGGCCATTGACGCCTGCTTCACTTTTCCTCCTTGATGCACCCCTTCCTCTCCCTCAGCCACCAGTGGATTGTGATGCAATGTTGTGAATCCATTCCCTATTGGAAGATAAGCCCAGCATGAAGAGAGAAGTTGATAATGTTTTATAGATATTACTCATTATCATTGTGATTATATGTCTTTTTCTTTAAGAACAAAAAAAGCATTTCGTCTGAAATGCTATATATATATTTTTTCTTTGTTTGTCCAAAAATTAAATAGTCAGTAGCAACTGTGTGCTCTCTTGTGATTATTTTTATTTTTGTGCCCCTGCATATTTAACAACTTTCTTTTAACAAGTAAAGTATTGCTGCTGAAGATTGCTGTCCCAGTTGACTGAGATTGCAACTTACCTTGATGATGTTCAAGGTAAATTTCTTCCCTTTCGTTTAGTTGAATATCAGCAAATTTTTTTGTTCACTTTTCCGGCATCCAAAACCTCCCGATTGTTGAAGCTCATTTCCTCGGTTGAACAAACAGAACAAAAATCCCATGTGTCCTCTCTTAATTACAAATGTAAAGTCCAATGTACAATAACTTACTATAACAACATTTTGATCTGTATGATCATCTTGATTTTAGAGATAATACTAATTAAACAATTAGTATAAAGTAGCATAAAATACTAAACAAAGGTCAGTTTCACAAATTTCTCATTGTTTTTCAATTAGCACCATTGTTTGCATTTTGTCATGTACACTTCCCCACAAAAGTGCTCATACCATTTGAACCTTTCCACATTTTGTCACGTTGCAAATAAACATATATATATTTTTTATAAAATATTAATTTTATGACATCCCAAATCGAAAAATATTAAGGATCAGTTTTAGTAATATATTTGAAAATTCTGTTTCTGAAAAGGTAGGTCTGCATTTGTATATTGAAACTTCTAAATATTGCTGTCACACCTACTAGAAATAGTTTGCCACTGACCAAGATACTAAAGGTGTTGAAAAAAACAATCGCAATACTACGTGAAATTGTGAAAAAGCACGAGCTGTGAAACAAGAATATTGACACCTTTGTTTGGTTTGTTAGGGATAATAATGAACATTCAAGTTGGTTTGTTCTTGTCACCTGCACATATTTTAATGCCCTGCCCAGCAACTGTTGGTTCACACCCTTGTAAAACTGCACATGTTGCCCAGACAAGAGATTAGAATGCACATGGATATGCTCAAACTAGGTTTCTTATTGAGTTCTACAGCAGATTCATCCTGTTATTACCGCATCGACTTCAGGGATGTTTATGTCACCGCCTAGCAAGAAATACACACACAGACACAGAAAGAAAGCTGACGGCTCAGCGAGTGCACTTTCTCTTTTGCTCTGTCAGGTATTCATTTCAGCTGTGACAGCCTGCGCTTACCCTGCAGACACACTGCCTAAATAGATAGGAGCTCTTTGTGTTTGTGTGTGTTTGTGTGTGTGTTTGTGTGTACACACAGCAGTTTTTGACCATACGATGATCTGAAAAAATTTTATTGTCGACGCTTGGGAATATGCCTACTTGTCCAAACTAGCATCCCCTTGCAGTATGAGTGGAGACGAGTGTTCAAGCCAAACATTGTCTTCAGGATGGAAGCAAAGTTTGGAGTTGTGATTTCAGACAATTTTAAGACCAGACTGTGTCTCCGTAATGAAGTGTGAATTCGAGTTAAATTATGTTCATAACTTTGTTTTTGTTGTTGTTGTTGTTGTTTTTAGAATAAGATCTCTAGTTCTTTCCTTTAGCCTACAAAAAGATATGGACTTTTTTGATGGACAGAAAAAAAAAAATCCACTCATGCATTGTCTTCTGCTTATCTAAGATTGATTTTTAGGGATGACAGACCAAGAAGAGAAACCCAGACATTTCTTTAACCAGAGCCTACTCTTCAGCATAACATGGGGGACCCCAAGGCATTCCTAAGCCAGAAGGGATATACTTGCATAGTTCCTCACAAGTTGCGCGTCTGCTCCAGGTTACTGTGGGGTGTTCTTGGAAAACCAGCAAAGCAAGGTGCTCAAAAGAAATCCTGACTTGATACTCAAACTGCAGCTTGATTTGGAAAACCAGTGATTCCACTCAAGTATTCCCTGAGATGGTATTATTCTTCACATCATCTTAGTTCCCGTCATCCTATGGACCATAGTTAAGGATTGAAAGTTGCTTGCTTTACTGCAAATGAGGCCACTATCCATTTCTCACTTAATCTTGCCATCACACACTAACAGATACTTAAAGTTAAGCGAAGATATTTAAAGTTCTATCCTTGGGGCAAAGATTGACCCCTGACCTGAAGGGAAACGTCTAGCCTGTTCTGGTTAAGAACCATGGACTAGAACGTGACTTTCATCAGTCACCTCAAACTAAAACAAACAAAAAAAAGTAAAATAAAAACAATTTGTGCAAAGAAGAGAGATGCATTTTTAATAATGGATCATGTTCAACCCATAACGAAGAAAAGTGCATAAAATGAATCACTTGGAAACTGTTCTGCTGTGTTTGGTTGAAAGTGTTCTTTGCATTAAGTAACATGTCAAAGCCAGAACAGTGGTTAACAATTAAAAAGATATATATCATATTTCATTTTGTGATTGGTTGGCACCAAGATTCGAGTGGTATTCCATGTTTTTATGGCAACAGCAGTACAAGAGCACCAGCATGCTCTAAGGCAAATAGTTTATCCCTGTCTCTTAGTAGCCCACAAATTTGGCTCTGACATGTTAAATAATGACTTATATAAACCAGGAGTGCATCAGTGAAGTACAGGACCAACATTATACAGTGATTCATAATTACTGTTGTGAATTTTCAGAAAATCCTCTGCATAGGTGCCAACCAGTTCTTTATGATAGTGTCTTGTGAATGCTTTATACAGAATCTTTCCATAATGTTTTTCTTGCACAGAAAGTCTGCTGATGTTCAGAAGACTTATTCAAGTAAACCTATTTGCCACAGTATGCATTGCCAAAGATCTGAGACATTAAGCCATTGAAAGGATGTCTACAAATCCCCAATGGGTTGTATGCCTGAAAGATGTAAAGTCTGTGCAAGACACACGATCATAAAGACTCATCTGGCTGGGTTCATCTATGGGTCATAATAAGACCCTTAACAAACTCTGGTGAAATAGTTCATTAAGCTTAGACCGCAAAGAGTCATCATATCAATCATCAAGCTTAACGTCATGGCAAGCAAATCATACCTTTGAAGAAATTGGGCTTATCTCAGAGGTGAGATATTTCAGGGACAAAAGGATGTGTTCTGCATAAAAGGAACGTGGTAGAAAATAAGCTGAACGAATTGGAGAAGAATGAAAAAGGGCAGGGAGGACAGAGAAACACGGCTCCTCACTGATACGCTTGTGGGCTTCAAGATCTCTCTTTCACTCTTGTCCACTACTACTTCTTCTATTCAATTCTCACTTTCTGGAGGTCAGAAAATGTCCCAGCAGGATTCAAATAGCAAAATCGGATCCACAATGAAGATTTCAGGTCAACATTTAGATAAATTCCTGTGTCTAAATGAGAACCTTAGTAAGAGAAATCTTTTTTATCATTTCCAGAAGCTTGGCAGGGTTCCCTATCCAAGAGGTTTTGTGAAGTTGTGTTTCCAAGTTTTTTAAGGTTTTTCTAGACAAAACAAGGAAAGGCAGGCTTCAGAAGTCTGGGAGAGTGTTTGTGTGTTGGTTAGTCTGCTGGTGGGACTGGGTATACTGGCAAAACTGGTTGGACTGGTGTGTTGAGGGCTGACTTGGTGAAGTCTGGTTTGTTTGCTGGTTTTCTGTTTGGTACCGTTCAAGCTCTCTCTTTCTTCTCATTGCTGACTGTAGCTGCAGCTTGATTGCAGTGATTTGACCCTCAAGTTCTGACAGTTCTTGCACTAGTGGGTTTCGACCAACTTGGCCAAGACTACTGTCGCCCACTCCTAAGCTGCAACTTTGAGTTGTAGTCTGTCCAGATCCTTCTTGTACTTGGCCCAAAACACGTCCTAACAGGTCAGAACGGCCATTAGAGGTGGTCACCATGGGCATGTGTTTCTCCAGCAAGGGGAGAGTAAGAGGATGAGGGTGGGGAGAAGATGGAGGTGGAGGTGGAAGATCCTGGGAGGATGGATGTTCCAGGTCATTCTGAATGTCTTGCGGAAGAAACCTTCGCCGGTTGCAGTGGGAGGATTCTGCAGGATTCCAAGATGCTGACTGGTTGTTTCCTTCGTTGCACCTGGGATAAGGCAGAGAAAAAGTGAAATGTCAAGAAAGAAATCTAAATGCCAAGGTGGGTGAAGTGTGAATCATTTAAATGCAACATGCTGGTAGGAATACTACGCAATTAATCTTAGAAAAAAGCTGCTGGTACAGACACAAAGAGAACATGCTTTTTTTTGCCTGGACTTAGGAGTTGTGGCACATAATATAATTGCCTTGTGTGTTAACAACTACTGAAAATACTGAAGTGACACATGAAGTTCTGGACAACATTTGGACATCATTTTTGAGGTACTTATTTTGGCATTCTTCCATACCAGCCTGAATATTTTCTGAAATAATTTGTGCTGTAATAAACTATTTGGTGAAGCTGAATATTACTTATTCTGAAATTCTGGAGTGCCCAGAGACTTCAAGACCCATTTCTTCTGAATTTGGATGGCGAGCCCCAGCCCAGAGAACCCAGTGAGATGGTAGATAGTGACCCGACTGGTCACTATCCTTGAAATACTGAGAGAACTGACTGACACATTGGAAGAGACTGGACAAACACTGAATCGACCAATACATTGAAACGATTATTTATTTTATTTTCTGGGGTTTTTTTTAAACGCGCGCCATTTTGTTGCAATTGTATATGTGGATCCACAATTGTTTTGTTAAATTTTACTCTCTTGTTGACACTTTGTGCACTTCTATGTTGTCATTCACACCTGGGCTCCCGAGAATTTAGAGTCTTTTGATCCGACCCAAATTCATTTTAGATACACTTTCATAGCATTGGTGCTGGTCAGAGAAGTAAATTGAATTACCTGCATTTTGCTATTATTAAGTGTATTTAAAGTAACTTGTGGGTTACAGACGACTACAGTGAAAAACTGTATTTGCAAAGTTTAGGGGCCACAGGTGCTCATGCATAGTTAATATCCACAAATCCCCTCTGAAATGGTTCCTGACGATATGTTGCCGTCATACTTCCTGTTGGTGTTCTATTTGCAATTATTTCACTCATTTGTTTATAAAGACAGAGAATAACTTTG